GGGCGGGGGACATTGTTCCGGCAAATTGGGGCTCTTTGTGCCAGAGAAAAGCCCCTGTTTGGAGCTCGAGCCCTGCGTTCCGGACGCTTGTTCCTCCTCCCCGAGACAATTACTCGTAAATGCTCCCAAATCGCAGTAATTGCACTTGTTTATCTGGACACAGTCAATTTGAAAATCTGAAAATTGCTGGGGCTGTTCCCTTCAAATTGTACTACCGTCCCGTCCATTTATGCACGGTGCGATTAAGTTAGTAACCGACACTCAGAAAAAAAAAGGAATTCCTGATTTAACAATTTTGTAGTTAAAAAAGTGTCAGACATGTTTCAATGGAGAATTTACAATTGAAAACTGATAATTAAACCACTCAGGTGGTTAAAGCTTTCCATTTTTGTAAAAAGTACATTTGAAACATGTCGGAGATGTTTTTCAACCATTTAATTGTTGAAACACTCCATTTTTTCCCCGTGCATTTTGTGTTCATATGGGAAGTAGAACACAAAAAACCTAATGTGAGATACACATTCTTTTGGTTGGTTTTTATTTAAGATAAATTGATCAAATCCTAGAATTACAATGACCAAATCTTTTGGTTGAAAATTTGCAACCTCGTTCAAAATCAGGCGCGATGAACCAGGGAATCGAACCTGGATCGCACATGTGAGTGTCCAATGCGCCAAGATGCAAGATGTTCATTGGACCTAAAGGCCAAACTTCTCATTTTCCACGGTCACCATTGAGGAAATGTTATGTTGATCTTCAATTTTTTAATAAAATTTGGTCATACAACACGGAGAAAAAAACTTCGTGCATGGGACCCGGAGTTGAGGTCATATGGATCTCTGAAGTTTTCTGATCACGCATCCAAAAACTTGAGGTCAAGGTGCCGAAGTTTGAGTTAGACATCGAGGTACTTCGGTATGTAGCGGAGTACTTCAGATGTGTGATCCGAACCCTTCGGTATATTTCGAAGGACTTCAGATGTCTGACCCGAACTTTGGCAGCTGGACCTCAAATTTTTAGATACGTGATCCGAAAACTTCAGAGATCCATATGACCTCAACTTCGGGTCCCACGCACGAAGTTCTTTTCTCCGTGAAATATCTAAACTTCCGCCTCTTCGCATCACAATTTAAATGCCATTTCCACGTCTAGACACGTAGGTATATAGTTATTGGGCAAAAAAAAGTATCGAATGAATAGTAACACGCAAAGTGCGAAACTCCAATTACCTAATTACAAAAAAAAAAAAAAAAGAAAAAGACACTCCTCCGTGGAAAATGATAAGGATAATAACACCCCGAATAGAAATATTTAAATGTTTCTCTTTCATTTCCTGTTTAGTAGCGTTGAAATTGCGGATTTTATTTAGAGAAGCGCCTGCTGCCTATCGAGACAGAAAACACCGGGACTCTCGGTCAGAGTGGGTTGCATAACATGCCGGGGCTGTAAAATTTGATCGAGCTTTCCGCCGACCGATGCGAGCGGGCGGGGGTGGCATGAACCAGGCAGGCTCATTAAGCACTCCATCGTATCCATTGAAGCACTTATCTGGTCAGAGGTCTTTAAACGCGGGCATAGGCAGGGCTTCGCTCATAAATGCACTAATTGCATTTCGGTTTGCCGGCAACATGCATACGAGCGTAATTAGTTCAAGTTGCTTGTAATCCGCTTTCAGGGCGTTTGCTTTTTGGTCCCCCAGGTCGGATCGCCGTGATAGGCGCTGCGATAGATTCATCCGTCACTCGATAGCGCCCGTCTTAGTCGTCGGTCAATTGTAATTGTGATCGATTTAGGAATCGTATCGCATTGACTCAAGTTGCTGGGTCTGCAACAACGCAATGGATTTGTCGCAAACTCCAGCTAGAGTAACAGGAGTTCTTTATGCAGGAAAATGGCTCAGAAAATTGAGTTAAGCGCACATTGCGAAAGATAGTAAGATTACCTTTGCTCTGTTGCATTGTGTAATAATTCGGCCAAAGTATATATCACAAGCGCCATGCGACGTTCCAAAATTTCCGTCTCAAGTTTATTTTTTTTACAGAGAAGTTGTTGCGGCTGAATCTGTTTGAAAATTTCACTAAATTATAAAGGCAGCACAAAGAAAATTCCGTGAAATTTTCGGACAGCTTCGTGGAACAATTTTCTCTGTAAAATATAAAATGACGGCGGAAATTTTGAAAAGTCGCATAGCGCTTGTGATACTTTGGCCGGAAGGTGACGAATAGCGGTGGATTACAGGAAAAATTTGCGGTAAAAATTTTCAGTCACCCATGTGCGAACAGGAATAGTGGGGAAGAATTGGTTTTCATTTTGCAATTCGTAACTATAAATTCTGGCTCTTCTATGGTAAAACACTTATGTGCATAGGGAAACAGAAACTAATGGCACTTACGCGTTCTTTTTAAACCGGGCTAGAATCTATAGGTCCAAATTGCAAAATATAGTCCAATTACACCTTCTGAATGTGTACATGTGGAGCACAGAATATTTGGCTCAGATCATCCTCTCCTCTCTTCGTGACTGGCAAAAACTTGAAGATCGTATTCGGAGTCACTTTTTATTCAGCTCGTCTCCTAAAAGACCCATCACTGACAATGCAATCACCAAAGCGCGAATCTCAACTTTGGTTTTTTTTCTTGAATCGTAGAATATTTTTAACACATAAAAGAAAAATCACGGTGTGCTCAAAGAAATGACGTTGAATACTTTCCCACCGAAAAACTGAGGTAAGTATAACGAAAAGTCTGCGATACTACAAATTAAGATATGCGGTTGATAATTTGAATCAATATTCATTCATGCTGGGTGAGAGAATAAAACAAATAAAGGAGCACGGGTTTTCAGCAAATCGAATAAAGGCATTAGTAAAATATAAGTCTCGGACTTTGCCCCTGCAACCTCTGTGTTAACCGGGAAATTGAAAATAATGAAATAAAATCCACAAGAACCTGAACCTGAGTCTCCTACCTCTAATGATAGATACTTCATATTAGATAAACCCGGAAAATTTTGATGACAAATACCCTACTAATAGACTAAAGATTCGAGTTTTGGCTACTGTTGATCTGATTTTATTATTTGAAGATTTCGGGTCAGAAAAGAAAGGAGAGGTTCTATAGACATTTTGGATGGAAGAACGCTCAAAACTGTAACCGTTGGATTCAACATCAATTTCAAACTGGTTTTAGTGAGAGAAACTAAGAATAAGGCTGAACTAGATACTTCGGAATACATTTTCATCTTTCGCCAAAATACGTTTAACACAGACTTGACGGGCACATCTAATACACTGGGGGAAAAAAAAACACATTGGATCTAGAGTCCAGACTCTTGAAAACATTTACAAGAAAAAATACTTTTGATTCAATCGGATTTTTGCTTAAATCAAAACGAAATCCGCTTGAATTAAGAGGCTTGGTTCTTGATTTAAGATAGATTCTGATTGAATCAAGAGTACTTTCTCTTGTCGATGTTTTTAAGAGTCTGGACTCTAGATCCAATGTGTTTTTTTCCAGTGTATTTTATTTAAACTAATTAAATCAGGCAGCATAGGGAATCGATCAGCTGATCATATAACAACACCTCCTCCAATCAAGTCAGCCGCGGGTTAACGCTGAAAATGAGGGCAGAGTCCGCTACGCGTTCTTTAATAAAATAAAAGTACAACTGAGCCCTACACATATTTATGTTTTACATATAGGGAGGGATAATCAGAGAGATGTGGGAAGTCCGGGAGTTTTGCCGCAGGTCTGAGAATCTGGCGCTTACTATATATAGTTGTCACAACCATGCATAGTCTTTTTTTTTGCTCCGAGTTACGCACCTCTGCAGTTTCACCATCGGAGTGACGTTTTCTTCTACCTCAGATCTTATCTAGAGGCCCATTCGTGCATTTTTAATCAGAAACACTCAACATTTTCCTAATAAGGGTACAATAAATTTGCGAGTGGTAAAAAGCGTTGAAATGCAGTTACGTTTATTTCATTAGCGTGGCGAGGGGGAGGGGGGTGTCACGGGGGACTTGCCTGGTTCCCTCAGAAAGCCATTAGTCCCTCGGAAAAATCGTGATGCATTCAGTCGCTCGATTGCAGTGGGAATAAGGAGGCAAGTTGGCCCTTTCCCGCCCCCGCAAGACATTTTCCTAGCTACAATTGGATTACATTTTGTGATAAGGCACCATTAATCCTGGCCCATTTTAGAAACAACATACATGCCGTTGTTTCCCTGTGCAGATATGTGCTTTTAGGGGAGAACCAGAAATAGCAGTCCCTTATTACAAAATGCAATCCAATGGAGATGTTGCATGTGTGAGGAATTTGCGATTTGACTATGGATTCTTTAGTAAAAGTTCGCGAGAAACACGATGGTGTCACTGGTTTTCCCTGAAATCAACTCCCAAGCACAAAAAAGCTCTCGAAGTTGATGCAAAATGGAGGGGATATCCCACACTATCCTGAGAAACCACCCCTACACCAAGACAAACTCTCCATGCGAAGATAGGGAGCAAATACACTGACAGGGCTGCAACTTTAATTGGGGAATCTAAAACTGAAAACACGGCAACCCTGCTAATGCATCTGCTCCCTATTTTTGCATGGAGAGTCTGTCTTGATGTAGAGGTGGATTGTCAGGATAGCGTGGGATATCCCCTGCGTTTTGGCCTCAACTTGAGAGCTTTTTTTGAGCTTGGGAGTTGATTTCAGAGAAAACCAGTGGCACCATCGTGTTTCTCGCGAACTTTTACATAAGAATGAACAGTCAAATAGCAAATTCCTAACACATGCAACATCTCCATTGGATTACATTTTGTGATAAGACACCATTAATCCTGGCCCATTTTGGAAACAACATACATGCCGTTGTTTCCCTATGCAGATATGAGCTTTTAGGGGAGAACCAGAAATAGCAGTCCCTTATTAGATAATGCAATCCAATTTCGGTTCTTTCGACAGGAATTTGACGATTTGAGGAGGGTTTTGATAAAATATTGAGCTTCGTACCTGGATAGCATGCCCGGGTCCGTGGCGCAGGGGTGGAGGGATCCGACGGCGAGGTGATGGACATCGAGGGGGTGGACGAGCTCCCGCTCTGCCTCCCCCTCCTCGTCTTCGGGGTCCCGATCGCCCTTATCCTTGGCGTCGAGATCGGCGGCGTGTCGCTTCTCCTTGGCGCTGCTCAGGATGCTCGAGATGGAGAAGGAGGTGTAGGAGTTGCCCCCCGAGCGAGGGGTCGCCGTCGTCGAGGTCGGCGACTGGGACTTCTTGATGTGCGGGAAGCATCTTTCAGGCGCCGCGAGCTGCGGGAAGTATTTCTCCTGGACCAGGCGCTCGGAGGCCTGGCTCTCCTCGTCCGAGCACTTCCGACTCGGGCCCTTCGAGTCCTCTTCCTCCTCCTCTTCGGCCGAGGAGAGCATCACGTCGATTTTCGGGGATCCCATCGGAACTTTACTCTCGAGACGTGACGATTTTCAACGAGAGGAGAAGTTGAACGAAGTTGAAGAAGTTGAAGTTGACCGTGAATCCATGTTCTAGAAACTCATATTTCGTTAAAAGACTCGGGTTATTCTCGGCTGGACACGAACGAATCTGGAGTCAGTCTAATTTGAGCGCGGTTCTCAGAACCCAGTTTATATTTATTTTGATTTGAAACCGCATCCACCCAAGATACTTTGGACAATTCCTGACGTTTTCAATTAAGTATTTGTCGATTTTGATCAGAATGCACTTAAATTTGGATCAAACGATGATGATTATCGTATATTGGAATGATTTAGGGAAAAACATTTGTGTGCAACAATTAAAAACGACTGGTTGACCTCTCTTCAATCCTCCGCCGATCACAGAAGTCCTGCGTTTTAGATTCAAATTTTTTGACGAAAATCACAACACGATACTTCAGTCGTTATATCCGGTCACTGTTGTATGTAAATATTGGAATAAAGTGAAGATTTCAAACTACGAAAATTGATTAGCTTTTCGTCAAAGCTAACGTTTTCCTGTGTTGGGGCTAGATCTAAATCAAATTGCACTTTCAATGATAAAGACGAATTTATTTTTGCTTTTGTAGGCAATTAAGAAACGTTCGTATCCACACAATCAGAAATTATTGGCTTTGCTGAACTGAAGGATTACGCAGATTCATTTGAAATAATGAAGCTTTTATTCGCCGAGTGTTTATGAAACATTTTGGTAACTTCGATGAGAGTTGCAGAGGGATGTCCCGTATTTGAAAATCCCTTCGATCGCACAGTAAACTTTCTCCTGGGGTTTAGTTTAACATAGAGGTGCAGTTCTTCGTGGATTTTTGCAGCTGCTTCACATTTTGTAGCGATCAACCGTGAATTTGACGCAACAAATCTTGCGTCTTCTTAAATTCTTCAATGAGAGTAAGTTCTCTTTCTCGTTCGGCAGGATTTTTTAAAATCACTGAATATTTTTCTAACTCTCCGGAAAAAATCTCGGCAATCTTTTTGAACTGCGCGACTTGATTTACAGCCGATTCTTTCAGTTATCCGCACTTTTAAACATAGACACTGACGACTTGCAAATTCTCTCCGCGGTTGATGTAGATAAAGCACGACAGTCAACGACAAACTTTCAACCCTGCTCACTGTCCGAATTCCGTGCCACCATGATCGTCCGTCACCAATGAGAAAATTCTCCGAAATATTTCACTTCTCAAAACCGCACTTGTACTTTCATTCAAGGCGGGAACGAATTAAGCATCGAGTGTAAAAAAAAACCAACGAAAAAACGTGCGAGCCGAAACGAAGAACCACGTGGAAACTTGAGAGGAACCCGGCATAAAAAGCCCGAACGTCCAACGCGCGAGAATTGGGTTAGGTTCGCATCGAATCCGGCGGGCGACCAACCCTCCTGCTCGACCTGAAGCACTTTGCAAGGGTTGAAATGGAGCTATTCGCCGTGGTTTCGACCCTCCAACTCCGCCGACGAAAACCCGAAGCCCCTCCCAGGAGCAGGAGCGGAGGGGTGCAGGCTCCACCCTGCTCTCGCAAGCACAACCACCCGGAGTCCCCCCATGCCTTCATCCCTTCGCGGGAGGGGTTTCTTTTTCAACCCCCTCCCCCGGATTTATTTTATTTAGCGTCTTGCTCGTCTTAATTTAGTAAATAGGTCCCGCAATTCAAGCGCCTTCTTTGCTCGGGCCGAGAGTTAGGCGGGGCGGCGGCGGCAGCGCGGGGCGGGGGGTGGAGGGGGGGCTCTCGTTTAGCTGTTTTTATTCGTCGCGTCATTATCCCTCCAATAAAGTAATAGAATGAATTTTTCATGAGCGCTGTTAAATGTCACGGAATGAGGGCTTATTTTTGCGTTTCTTCTCTCGGTTTTTTTTCCCTCCTCCCTTTTTTAAATGTTTACTTGGTCCTGTTTGCCTCGCGTTTTTAATCCGTTTTGCCTCTATTGCATTTTCGAACGGTACCGCGATGAGGCTCCTTTCGTTAATGGTCGGTTAGTTTGAGGAAGGAAATATTGTTTTTTATATATATATTTTTCGCTTTACTGTTTTTTTTTTCCTTTCACCCTTTCTTTTTTCGAGCGGTTCCGGGCTATGAAAATAGGAGGGCTTGAGTGTGACGACAATGAGACTTTGTATTGTCTAGAACGTTAATTCACGTTGAGTGTGGTATTTTACCCCGCGCAACAAAATTATTAAACAAAATGATGCGGAAGTACCATTCAAGCAATTCATTATTTCATAGATTTAAGATACTGAAGCTTAAATTTTGAATTTAAAGTTATATAGTGATTTTCAATTGCTTTTTTCAGTTGATAGTATAAACTAAACCAGAAGGTACTTCACTTTTTGCAGTAATGTCTCCAGCAGAATTTACTTTGTGCGATGGTTGCCAAAATTGAGATGTCTATTGATTTTAAGAGTAAAGTATCACTTTTAAGAAAAAGTGGTCGCAGTAATAGTGAGTCTTTGAGCTACGACTAAAAGGAAGATGAGATAATGTAAAACGACGATTAAGTGTAGAGTGTCTCTGTATAGAGAGGAGAAGTAGAGGAAGTTGAAAACGAAGACAATATGGAAATAGCATGCAGCTCAAAACTCAGCGAAATACTTTACATTTCCATTAGAAAATATGGGGAAAAGTAGTGCCTAGTGGATGTCAAAATTAACAACCTCGCTACTTCAGTTACAGTGACGTAGATAAAAATAATTTTGGTAATTTTTCATCTCATACCACTGTTTTTTTCCCACTTCCTTCTCTTCAGTATGTGGCCATTCATGATAAAAGGAGCAGCCTCAGTATCAAGCAAGTCAATTTTCAGCCATTTCTATAACTGCCAAGAGGAACATTATATGAATAGTGTTGCATAGAAGCACACAGATTATGCCAACCAAACTTAAATCATGATGAACTCAAAATATTAAATGGCCATGGGATAAATTAGTAAAGCTCGGAGATTTTACCGACGTGTGATAATTCTTTTTTTTCCCCTGAGAAAAATGCCCCAGTTTCTAGTTCTTAGTTCCTAGTTCGCTAGTTTTAGACGGCTTCATTCAAACAATCCATTTAAGAATTAAATTAAAAGCACTGAAAAAAATGTTTCAGAGATATTATTTAGACATTAAACGTCGATTCTTGTCGACAAAATTTGGTTTTCTACGGTTAAATCCGTGTGGATTTAAAAATGCAGTATTTTTTAGTTAAAGAAACGTTATTTTGAATCGCTTTTTTAACTTATAGCTTAACGATAACAAAACAATGTGTTTTAACTAAAAAAAACCAAACGTCGACAAGAAAGGGCGCTTTAAGTCAAAATAATAACTTGAAACAAAATTTTTTCATCGAAGTCGGACGTTCTTATGGTGTCACTTAAAATATTTTGATGGAATGCGCAATGCGCCACAAATAAAACGCATGAGAATGAACAGCAACTTGTTCATAAAAATGGTCAAACAAAGCGTAGGAGCTCATCGACTACATGTGGAAGTGTTCATTTACTTTTTCCATTTAATTCCATAAGTCGGCAATATCTGGGTACTTACAACATTGCTTGTACCTAGTTGGACCAGGTAAACTATTGGTTAATAATACATGGATCAGAAAAACTACTAGATAAACTTCATAAATGGAGCTTGAAAATTTTGGACCAAATAGGTATAAAGTGTTAAGCTAACATTACTCTTTGATATTCATGTAAATTTGCAAAATATAAATCTTTTCTGCTACGTTAATTATAAACACCACGACGACAAAACCATCAAAAGCGGCAAATCACCACATTTTAATTCCACCCAAAACTGAAAATGGCCGCCATCATTTGTCGCAGTTTTATATTAAAATTAAACATCATAACAAATGTCATTTCTGCAATTGGAAACTACTGTTTCCTCTCTCACCAAAAAACCACCATCCTATGCAAAAGGAAAATAATGGAACATACGTCACTTCTGCGCTGAGTTAGAAATAGAAGTTTCCTTTCGCCAAATGTAAAATTCGCCAAATTCCAAAATGTAGTCCAACTGATTCCCTAGCTTTAGCAAAAGTTCGCAAATCGACTTATTGTGGCTATTCTTCATACAATACCCAGGTACATCTTTAAAATCTGTCATAAAGGACTTAATTGCATAACTTTTTGCTGTAACAAAAGTTTACAGCCAACACATTGGTCATTTTTCATAGAATCATTACTATGGGCTTTTGGACCCCGTAAATTTTCCATTCTTGACACAATAAATCGTTCTACCGTTGTAATCGGCCGATTTCCGTGATTTTTACGGCTATCGACAAAGGATATTCTTTAGAAGATACCGCTCTAATCAGATTATGGAAACAGGATCTAAAATTTTGCATAATACGTAATTAAGTTGTAAATTCTTCCAACCAAACAATGTAAATGTTCATTTTTTCGTCGCAGTCCGTTCCAAAAATATGAGGTTGGTGTGTTACCTTTTTGCAATCAAATAGGAGAATAGCGGATAGCCCTTAGTCTCTTCTATTGGGCGCAAAGCGCCTTTGAGAGTTGGGCTGCGTAGCGGTCAAGGAGCATACCCTCTTGTATCTCTCCATGATTTGATATTAAAACACATGTTTACAAAGCAGCCCGAGACCATAGTAACAGGAGAAAAATAAGGGGAAAATACGGGAAATAAGGCTGAATATCAACATTAAAAAACCCGAGTTGTTCCGACTCAAAACTGAGTCATTTTCAGTCGGAAAATAAATTAAAAATTAATACATATCGATGAAAAAACCTGAGACCTACATATTGGTGGCAGAGATCCGAGAAAAACAAACGAGTCAAATTTTTAATTTATTTTCCGACTGAAAATGACTGTTTTGAGTCGAAACGTCTCGGGGTTTTTAGTGTTATATTTCAGCCTTGTTTCCCGTATTTCCCCTTGTTTTTCTCCTGCTCTGGTATAAATAACTCCGATTCAAGTCTTGTGGACTAAATTATTTTTTCCTGCATGTGAACAGCTACATATTATTCTGCCGTGCTAAGCAAGAACACCGTATATCCATCAAAATTTTCCCGCGTTTTTTGGAACTTGACACTTTACAAAATAAAAATTGTTTTACCCATGCACCTCAATTTTTCAGGCTAAGTTCTTGATAGTATTTGCAAAAGAATTCTATAAAAACATTGTTCCAAGGTACACACATTTTTCTGCTTTGATACATTGTTTTCGAAAATCTTAAAATGGCGTTTACGGCGTTTTTGCGTTGCACGGCATACCCTGAAAAAAATATTGGTGGAATTTACCATTCCTTCACACTGTATTTCACACAGTATTAACTCAAAGTCAATTCTGCCAGAAAAAAGGTAAACGTTACTATAAACTGGTACAGGTAACCATTCCTCTGGCAGAATCGATTTGAAGATTGGTAGAATTATTTACCATTCCTTCGTGCTGTATTTCACGCAGCATGCATTCAGAGTCAATTTTGCCAGGAAGGTAAACGTTACTATATTCTGGCAGAATCGAATTGAAGAGTGGTAAAATTTACCATCCCTTCGCGCTTTGTGAAATACAGCGTGAAGGAATGGTAAATTCTACCAATATTTTTTTGTCAGTGTATTGTGATGACGCGATGATGGGATAAGACACCCTTTCTAGTAATTTTCCGAGGTAAGTAAGTTTGCCGCTAAATAAGGAAATCCGACAACTGGCCACTCACACCTCACCAGGCTGGTAAACGGAGCTAATGATCAATTAATTAATTAGTCAGAGAGACGATACCGCTACGCCGCGGTGTGGCGGAAGCGCGGGGGGCAGGCGAAGCGGCAAGAATGGCGCGCTGAGGCTCAGAAGCTGACGATGTTCGCACTTCGCGCCTCGCCGGGGAAATCGATTAGCTCCCCCTTTTCTGGCTCACACAGCCCTCCCCCCTCCTCAAAAACACCCCCCTACTTCCCGTCTAATCCTGCGCTGGCCAATCGCAGCGCTCACCCCCTCCACGCCCCCCATCTGCATGCGCCCTGCGAGAGGGTGATTTTTGACAATCTTCCTACAAATCGCACCAACTCCCAGTTGCTTCGGAACGGCCTCGTAAGTGTATCATCTCTCCCCTTGGCGATGTTGATGAGAGTCTATTCTTTCTCCAAAGTAAAAACCCTGTACATTAATGCAATTCGTTTAGCTTTAGTTTTAAACCATGTAGATAGATACAAGGAAATACTTGCAGTAGTTACGTTATATACAGGGTGATCCAAAAGTCCCTTCCACCCCCTCTAACTTTTTACCTAATTGAGGTAAAGATTTGAAACTTGGGGGATATTCCTAGGTCAAAGGGAGCTACTTTTTGGCCCACCTAAAATTTTCAGGGGGGCCCCCCTTGGGGGGGCAACGGCCCCCAACTTTTAATTTTCAAATGGGAAGACCCCCTTTGTGATAGCTCGTTTG